AAAAGCGGCAGGTCTTTAGAATTTTGAACCTGTGCGGGTGGAGGTCATTCGCTCATATATTGACTTTATAACCCATCTACTGACAATTGGTGCTGGCAGACACCAACCTGACTCACAGAATCATTGAATGGAAGCCTGTCAACGGACAAGGGGCAATCCATCAACTGAAGTTGTAAACGGGCAGAAACAGTGATCATTGCTACAGGTCTATGCGGTCAATTTGGACGGAGGGTAAGAGTCTTTCCTAGAGGAAGTAGAATGCGCTATTCAAAAAGTGGCCACTGATTGGCGATTTCAACGCGTATGTCAGAGCAGCTAGTGTGCCTAACTGCTAACCATCTGGCGATTACCCGGATTGCAAACAGGTCAACGAACTTCAGCACTGGAATTCAGCTGCGAATAATTAGTATTTGTAAGCAGGCCACGGTGAGACCATCATAGCATGGCCGGGTCGAGCTCAATAAGTTCGTTCCTAAGAAAAAACTCACAGTGCCTAATGAAAGACTCATTACGACGAGAAAGCAATCCACCGTTATGAAGAAAAAAGATCGCTATTCTCAATTCTGCCTTGTCGGTTATTCAAAGTCTAGAATAGAAAAGTTCCATGCAGAACTGGTCAGAATTGGAGCACCCGTCTGCACTGCCAGCCTGGCCATCGTCAGCCCTGCCAGCGGGTAGCAAAATTTCACACGTTATGTCAACACAAAATGTTGCGGCAGGCTAGAATTGACGCCTAATACCAACCGGTCAAGGTCATGCAAGAGCAGACACTGAAAAGTGGAAAGGCGTGATTGGAATGAACGACCCTAATGACCTCAACAATAATGGCATGAAGTTGCTGCGGTTTTGTACAAGCGGATAGTCCATTAAAAACACCTTCTTTGAGCATCGAAGTGTGCATCAGTATACCTGGTATACACAAAAGTCAATGACTGATTTGATAATCATATCGTCTGACTTACGACAACCGGTAATCAATGTCCGCGTAAAGAGGGACGCAGAGTTGTCAACAGATCATCAACTTGTTGGTGGCACCCTTCACTGCAAACGGTGGAGTATCACTCAAAGACCAGGCGACAGAAACAACCAGAGAATCAAATGGGAACACCATCTTCTGCGGATACAAGGGCAAAACTTGCAAACAACATGGCACGATGGTTTGACTAGATCCCAGTGATGACGCTGTTTAAGAGCAGCTTATCCGGGGCTGCCGTGGAATGCTGCGATTTACAAAGCGTTGAAGCCTCAAATCCCAAAAATGAGCCATCTCTTGGACACCAGGGATTTAACATGATGTCAGCAAAAAGAAAGCTAGATTCAAGATGTGGCTTGGAAGCAAAGATCCTTCGACTAGCTTGCAATACGAAGAAACGTTTGAAGCGGCAGCGAGAGTAGTTATTGAAGCGAAAACTGACTGCTGAGAAACGTTCGGTGAGATGCTGGAGTAGAATTTTCAGAATAGCAAACAAAGTATTCTGGTAGACAGTTCACCGTATCCAAAGTGAAAAAGAAAGCAGTCTGAGAGTCCTGAAGGACAAGCCCGGACGTCTCCTTATCAAGGAAGATGACATACTTCTACGATGGAGAGAGTACCTTGAGGAACACAACTCAAATGACTGATAGTCGTCATGCCATACAGAAGAAAGAAGAAAAACGTTTCACTCCGAAGTTGCCTACAGCTAGGTAAAAGCTTCATGCTCAACTCCACAGAAAGTCCGCGACAGGCCCTGATAGAGAAGTAGCGATCATTTGAAAGGGAATTCGCATTGCCTGACAATGAGAACTATTATGACTTTAAAACGAACTGACTAACAGAATACGCTGGGGGGTCAATCGCGGAATAAAATGTATTGTTAATAGTGGCAGTCGATCACATAGCGTTCAAATCAAGCACTGAAATATGCTACGTACCACAGAACTTGGATCCTTCTGAAAGCGCGCAAGTCCCAAACGTTCACAAACTTCCCAGATACTGTAAACAGCCTATCCGGCGTCTGACCGAACAAAACAGAGGTGACAGGGCCAGAATGACCATTTATCGATCGCACGCATACCAGCTTTCTCAAGTCCCAAATTTTTGCTGACATGTCTGAAATAATCCCATTTCTCTTCTAAGTCATCATGACAAGCAAATCAATATACCTGAAGAACCGGTGGCGGCGATGCTATGCAACGAATGAACTGACAACACCGGTCCATCGTGGCCGGTCACGTTGTAGGAATAGAGAAACGGCGACGTGCCTGTCTTCGCTACTGAGAGAGTTTGAATTTCAAAACTGAAACATATAATGAAGAATATAAAAAGTAGCTATAGCTGAAATTAATAACGTAAAAAATAATACCAGCGCGAGTGTTTACTGAGTACCAAGCATTTGCAATATAGATTACAAAGCATAAAATAAAGCGACTTCAGTGGGAAAATAGAAGTACAAAGTAAAGCAAACTGTCCCGTGATATCTCAGTTTAGTCCTTTACCAGTATTACAGGGTTTTAGTACTTTCTGCAAACATTCGACTTTTATTCCATTGCAAATTTTACCCAGATGTTTTTGCATTCCACCTCCCTGAAAAAACTACCTTTGCGAGTAATCTTGCTTTGAGAAACATTCACTGGTTTTTTGCAAATAATTTGTTAATCGTATGTAAACAAATCGTGTATACCACTTTCGACCATCGCAGAGGATTTATTTGCTTCTTCTTTAATCTGCAGACTAAAACTGTTATTTTTTAGTGACAGAACTGGTCGAGTTAAATTCAGTTTCGCTTTGCATGTTTATTTAATATTGACGCATTCCTGCTCCAGTCAATCAACTCTTGCTAAACATGTTTTCTTTGACATATTGAGAATCTTGCAGAAACTAAAAGCATTGTTTTATTTATTTTCCCATTATTCGTATGATGTTCATGCTTCTTACCGTACATTAACTTTCTAAAATAAATTATCCACACGAGGCCTCGCTTGTGGTCGAGTACAGTGATAAAAGCCGATTTAATAAACGTTAAATCGTCCAGATCAAATAAAGGAACTGAAACATATCAAACCGTTGAAAGGAACATAATGGTCAGAACCTGTTGACCAATGTTCCTTATGACGTTACGCACTTCGGACGGATAAATCGCTTAAACAAGGTACCAGTCTTTCATGCAATTACATGTTAAAGTTAATAACTTAATGCATAGTCGAAACAAAGCATTTTTTCAAGGATGGGTTCTTCAAACAAACCAGAAAAATACTCATGGCAACCAACTTTGCTCCATCCTCATTGAAATTTTCATGGAACATTTTGAAAATCTGGGTAGGGACATGAACTCAGACCTGTTGATAATATTTTTGCCATCTGCCCCAGTGGTGGTGAAAACGCGGTAGCAGACCTTCTCAATGACCTTTACACTCAAAATATTCATGACAATTTTAGTTAACCTTTTTATGATATCTAAATAATTAACTTTAGTAACTGCTATAAAATAAAATTAATCTTAAACGTACTAACAAAGAGGGACGTTAAACCTTAACCTTATTAGTCACATAAACAATAAGGAATCTCCAGTTGCGACTTTAAAAGACATAGCTCTGAAGCTGCATAGCAAGGAATTTCTTAAAGAAAAAGTGAAACTTTAAGTAAACGTTGTGTTATAAGAATAATCATCCAGCTAAATTCATTAATAATATCATAAACCGTTAAAAATGGTACCTTAAATCAACCTGTAATAAATAATGTCAAACAATAAACTCTTTTTATTGCTCAACGTTGATCACAATCATCCAGACATATTAATATTGGACTGCAAGAACAGCACACCTGAAATAATTGATGGTACTGTTCTGCTGGAAGAAAACAGGCAAAAGTATAGGAGGAGAAAACAAGAAAATATCAAAATCTTGACATCGATCTGAAACAGGAATAGCAGTTAAAGACCGTAGGAATAACGTCAGTTGTCATCTTTGCAAATGACCTCGTTACGAAACCAATAAAGACAAACTTAGACAGCCTGAAACTCACAGAAAGGCTAATGAACAAAGCCCGAAAGCCGTTGTTGGACACATGTTCTGGAAATCATGCGAAAGATAATGGATACTAAAACTTTGTAGCAGGCATCAATTAGCCGGCTATGTTGAGCCCTTGGCGAACTGGAAGACATCCGCTGCATGACAAAATATGAAGTAAAACCATACTTAACAAAATATCCTACATAATAATACAGCAACATAGTATATTAAATTCCAATGATCTTAACGAGCTATAAAAAAATCCTGAAAATAAACAGTATTTAGGCCGGGCTAACAAATTACCATGTGTCTGCGGGAAACATTACACAGGAGAAGCAGGAACTACCAACACTCAAGAACAAAAACTGATTTTTCAAGTTTGAGAAGGTGAATGATTGCAGACAAGCACGAACGACACGTGGTAATGAGACGATCGGGGGGAGGAAGAGAAAACAAGGCCTCGCCAGCAGTAAATTCAAGCAATGCTGCGGAAGGACATCCGGTATTGTGCAACACACGACGCAGAAACGACATGACCCCGACAGTTAGAGTATACAGGAACGTCAGAGAAAGACATTGGCTGAAAGGCTCGTCAAGGGGTATTAATCGTCCAGTCCTCGACAATGTCAACCGTAGAAAGCAATAAAAGTCCTCGCCAATTGACAATCAATCAAACTATCGCATCTGTCGCCAAAAACTATTTAAGCGGCAGCACAGACCGAAAACTCCCCTTCTAACTCCAAACATATGAACGAGAAAAATAACTTTCAAAGCCAACCAAACTCTCTACGTTGAAGAAGCCCGGTGAGTCTCAGACCAAAACATCGGCACTATTCAATCATATGATACACCAAACTGTTCGTGTTGTGTAATAATTAAATCGTGTTCATGCTTCTCAGGTAAAATACAAAAGATTAGAAGAAGGCTTCGATATTTTAGCTCACCGGTGTATATGCCTTTCAATCATTCTCGTGAGATACGTTTTACATGTTCCACTTAAGCTGGATGAAATCTGATCTTGGAGGAGTCATTAATTATTTTGCATACTTGGGCAATGCCTTAGCATTTAAGGAGTCCGGCTCTTGAAACGCTGTTCGTAAAGAGGGTGAGGTGACTCTAGATATCAATATGATGCGAGATGCGTCTGGAACTGCAGTTTCTCAATTACCATGGAGTCATGAATTCCCAGAGCAACTAGGAGCAATGGGGTGATGCAATTCGCCATGAAACCTGATTATGGAGGAGTCAATCGCTATTTACACCTTCTATTACGACAACGAATCTCTTGTGACACTTCATGGTGACAAATCTTTCAGTTTGATAAACGATTTTATAATAATAATAATAAATTTATTATTATTATTATTATTATTATTATTAT